CCCTCACCAACTTTGGGCACCAGATTCTGCTGCTCCTTCTTGGGACCCAGACTCGGGCCCTCTGCAGGCTGGGAAATAGTTTCACTATTGTGCTCTTCATGAACAGAAATGCTGCAGTGACTTGATGAAAGCTTGGTGAAGTTTCTACAGTGGATTTACCAGCTCGGGGGGCTAAGCCTTGTCAGTGCCGTTGATCAGCACGTCCGTTGCTTTCAGGAAGTCTCTATTTCCAGTCATGGCCACCTGGAGCTGTGATACAAGTTGCCTGTAAAATATGGGCTTTTGTTGAATGTGAAGAGGTCTAGGGGCCGGTGCTGTGGCTTAGTGGGTTCTAGCCCCAGCCTGTAGTGCCGGCATCCCATATGGGCGCCGGTTCAAGTACCACCTGCTCCACTTCCCATGCAGCTCTCTGCTATGGCCTGGGAAAGCAGTAGAAGATGGCCCAAGTCCTTGGGGCTCTGCATCCGTGTGGGAGACCCGGAAGAAGCTCCTGGCTTTGGATTGGCACAGCTCCAGCCAATGAGGCCAACTGGGGAGTGAACCAGTGGATGGAAAACCTCTCTCTGTGTGTGTAACCCTGCCTTTCGAGTAAATAAATAATCTTTTTTTTTTTTTTTTTTTTTTAAATCCACAGAGCTGGCATGCCCATGCATTACGTACCAGGTCTGTGCCCTGAGCTCGCTGGACCCCCATACAGCTCTTCTCCCCTGCAGAAAGCCAGGAGTCCCAGAGGAAGAGATTGCAAATGTGGGGGGGGGGGGTGCAGAGTTTTCCCTCACAAGACCCCACAATCCAGGGATTTCATCTGTGCAGTGCTGGTGACTTTACCACTCACCACAGCCTTATTAACCAGAATGTCAGTTTCTGGTTAACGGGACATACTTTGAAGAAAGAACACAAAACAGTATATTATCCTGTAGCAGGAAATGAGATGGGTTATCTTAACCTTTCACAAAGGGGTAGATAGAAATTTCTAACCATTTGTGTGCTTGAGGTTTAAGTGTCAAAAACACCAAAATAGTGCAGAGATGCAGGCCAGTCCTTACAGTGTGCTTCTGATGCCTTTAGCGCTGTCCCCAAATTGTGGGTGGAAAAGTTATGTCTGCCCAACGTTTGTGTATACCTGTTTCCTTTAGTTCCTTGAGATGCAATGGAGGCAGTAGGGGAATAGGGGCAGTGAGCATTTCTTTCTCTCTTTTTTTTTTTTTTTTTTTTTGACAGGCAGAGTTAGTGAGAGAGAAAGGTCTTCCTTCCGTTGGTTCACCCCCCAAATGGCCGCTACGGCCGGCGCACTGCGCTGATCCGAAGCCAGGAGCCAGGTGCTTCTCCTGGTCTCCCATGCAGGTGCAGGGCCCAAGGACTTGGGCCATCCTCCACTGCCTTCCCGGGCCACAGCAGAGAGCTGGACTGGAAGATGAGCAGCCAGGACAGAATCCGGCGCCCCAACCGGGACTAGAACCCGGTGTGCCGGCGCTGTAGGTGGAGAATTAGCCTAGTGAGCCGTGGTGCCAGCCAACCATTTATTTCTAAGTAAAGGGCTGACAGGAAGCCTAGATGATTGGTTATTGGGGAAAGCAGGTTGGGCTGTTGGAATCTGGGACTGGCCCAGAAATTCTGAGACGGGAAGCCCAGGAAGGGCATGGAAAGCCCTGTCTGTGTTCTTGTGTACTTTGGGTGAGCTCTGTGATGCGTGGCTTGTCTGTGTCACAGGGTGCTGTCTTGCAGAGAGCATTTTATGCACTGCTTAGGGTCTAATGTAACCAAAAATTAGGTGTCTACACGTGGTGGTGGTGCAGCTCGTGTGGGTCACTGGGCTTTGGGGTTCATCTGGGAACAGCCTGAGGACTGGCACCTCTGCCTCCTTTCCCTCTTGAGCCTCAGATGTTCCCATCGTCCCCAGAGTACTCGAGAGAACTGTAGGCCGCTGTCTTGGTCCCCCTCCCCTGAGCCACAGCCCTCAGGGACAAGCCATCTCTGCACACACCTGTACCTGTGTGCCAACATTCCTTCAACATTGTGGACCTGAATGCTTGCAGGGAGCCCAGCCTCTCAGGGACCCTCTGCTTGGCTTGGGTAGGACACATCTGTGCTTTAAGGACCTCTCCCTACTGAGTGTGGGAACACAGTGCACCTCCTGATCAGTCATCAAGGCTGTTAGCTGCTGTTACTGGGTGTTCTTTCTTTGTCACTGTGACTAGCAGCCACGCTTTAAGAAAAGCTCAAAGCCTGTAACCAAACTCAGGAACTCACTGGTGGTTTGAACCACTGAATAAGCTTCAGGTTTTTGTTGTTTAGAGGCAGAGTTACAGACAGTGAGAGCGGGAGACAGAGAGAGGTCTTCCATCTGCTGGTTCATGCCCCAAAATGGCCGCAACGGCCATTGATCTTAAGCCAGGAGTCAGGTGTTTCTTCTGGGTCTCCTGCATGGGTGTAGGGGCCCAAGGACTTGGGCCATCTTCTGCTGCTTTCCTAGGCCATAGCAGAGAGCTGGATTGGAAGTGGAGCAGCCAAGACTAGAACTGGCGCTCATATGGGATGCTGGTGCCACAAGTGGAGGATTAACCTACTGCTGCACAGTGCCAGCCCCGGGCTTGAGCTTTGATTTTTCGTCCAGGCTGTCTTTTTTTTCAGCACACTGCTTGTGTCCTCCCTGTGTCACTGGGCTTAGAGCTCACCAGCCCTGTTACTTGATGAGAAGGCCCCACGAGGCTTCTGCCTTCAGCATTCAAGAGCATATCACAGGGCAGCTCCCCATGGAGAGGTTAGGCCAGCTGCCCCTGCTCCGTAAACACACTCCAACTCCTCTCTGGGGGAGAGCAGGAAAGGAGGCCGTGTCTCCACAACCAGAGGACGGAGTGTTGGAGGAGATGGGTGGAGTAGGTTCTGGTCTCTGAGCAAGAAAGCATTCAGATGTGAGCCAGAGAGCAGTGGTAAGCAAGGTAGCAAGATTTATTGGGAGGTAAGGCATCCACCAGAACGGATGGGACAGAATCCGAGAGAGAGAGTGCCCACTCAGACTGGGGAGAGCAAGGTCACATGGTTAAATGGTGAGAATACACCTTGCAGGCCTGGCGGGCGGCTCAGCAGAGTGAGCGCTGAGCATGCAGTCTGTGTTCAGACTGGGCTTGTAAGGGCAAGGGTCCAGTTCTTCCTGCTGTTTCTCCTACCCTTCTCCTCCTCCTCCAGGACGAAGGGTTTGCTGAGTGTGAATTAGGAAAAATTCCTCCCAGGGATTCACTGCTCAGTGCTATCAGACTGGGGAGCTCACCTGGCCCCTGGGCAGAGGAGCTTCCGCTAGGGCCCTGCCTTGGAGGAAGGCTGTGGAGGTTTTATTGCTGCATGTCCTCAAGCCAGGGAACCCATGTGGTACTGAGGAGAGAGGATTCTCCTGGGAACTTCCCTTGGGGGAAGGGCTGGGACCCCCTGGAAAGCAGCTGGGGTCTGGGCAGGACTTGGAGGTGTAAAATCCTGGGCTGCTTCCGGGGTAAGCTCCTGCACACACCTTGTTTTCCTCAAGCCCCTCTCACACACACATAGGCTAATTTCCAACTCCCTGCCTGACAGGAGCACTTGCTGTGGTGGTTGGCTGCTGGAGCTGGGCTCTGAGGGGTTAGATGGGGTTCTCTTCAGGTGTGAACACTGCTGGGCAGCACACAGAGGAAGAAGCGGGAAGGGAAGCCCACGTAGAACTGGGTGAGGAAGTGCTGCTGCTGTGCCTAGACCAGCTTTCTGTAATGCTGATGTTTTCTTTCTTTCTTTTTCTTTTTTTCTTCCCTCCATTGGTTCACCCCCCAAATGGCCGCTACAGCTGGTGCATTGCACCGATCTGAACCAGGAGCCAGGTGCCTCCTCCTGGTCTCCCATGCGGGCACAGTGCCCAAGCACTTGGGCCATCCTCCACTGCCTTCCTGGGCCATAGCAGAGAGCTGGACTGGAAAAGGAGCAACTGGGACAGAATCCGGCGCCCCAACTGGGACTAGAACCCAGAGTGCTGGCACCGCAGGTGGAGGATTAGACTAGTGAGCCGTGGCGCCAGCCAGTGTTGATGTTTTCCAACACTTTTCTGTACACACTGCTGCCCAGTCTTCCCCTAAACATCTATGAAGCCTGCACAAGATATTCCTGTAGACTGAAGGTCTGTGCAGTTTAACAGATGCTTGTCCGGGTCTGATGTGCAGTGGACAGAGACAGGTGCCCTGGCTTCTGTGGGGTAGTGCACGCTCACTGAGTCCCTACATCTGGCCATGGCCTCCCAAGAGGAACGTAGGAGGCACTTGAGCAGAGCAGTTGAACTTAACTTTTGGGCAGGGGCTCCAGGGCCCTAGGGAAAGCTTCCTGAAGAAAGTGCAAGTAGGGTGGGGTGCAGGCTGTGTTTTTTGAGGAGACACAGCTCAGGTTGAGGAAGAGCCAAGCTGAGCCGCCATGGTACTTGGTAGTAGGAGTCGTGTGAGCCCAGTGGGCTGTGGAGGCAAAGGGATTCTGCCTGCTGACCAGGGACCAGAGCGTGCCTGTGACTGCCTTGCTTCAGTGTAAGTGGGCTGGGCAGAGCCACTCCCTGCCCCTCCACTCAAAACCACAAGTCTTAGCTTTCCAGCGCACGTGAAAACCAGTGAAAGAACAAAGTGCTTTGAATCTTGGGCATGAGGATGAGCGAGTGTAGCGTCACCATGCACACAGCTCTCAGGGCTGTACCCTGGGAGTCGTGGCGACTCCCGTGCTGCAGGCCATGGTGATTAGGGTGAAACCAGGTGCCGCCTTCTCAACTTACCTGGTAGCTGCGTGCCTGGAAAGTTCAGTGTGTGAAGGTAATACAAAACCATTTTTTGTTATGTCTTAAACAAAGGTGAACTTCTGGCCTGAGATAATTACAGTTTTGAATATCTGGCAGAACACCTGACCCCAGAGTGCTTATGGGCCCTCCCTGTGGCCATGGCAACCAAAACAACTCCCAGGGGTCCCTATGAAATGATTGAATTCCTGTTGTTTGCTGTCTGTTTCAGGCACATGGACTCCATTTAACCCCGTGACTGTCAGGTCGATCATATGTGAGTATCTGTGGCCTGGGCTGCTTTGCCTGCAGTGGCCTGGCTGTGGCTTGTGCATGGCTTCATGGCTCCTCCTGCAGTGCCAGTGAGCCAGGCATTGAACCTTTGCTTTCTCCCTCCCAGCTCTGCCCCTCTCGTGTGTGTGTGTGTGTGTGTGTGCACGCGTGCGCTTTCGTGTGCTTTTTATTTCCAATGTACTGCCTAACCCATCCTTTCCGTTTCTAATTCTAACGGTTGTATATGTATGATAGTTCTAAATTACTATTTGCTTATTCTCAAGTCTTTCTTGTGTGTGTGTGTGTGGTTTCTTACCACTTGTTCATTTCATAGTCTTTTAGATTTCAAATAAGTTTTTTAATTGAATAATATTCTGTGTATGTGTGTGAGAGAGAAAGTACATCAAAAAATTTAGAAGTGGAATTAAAAGAGAGAGTACAGAGCTTCTTTGGAATCCATGCATAGTTTTCTCCTAAGGTACGTTTCCGTGAACTTTTGGGAAGACCCCTTGCACGGTATTCGTTTCGTGTAGTGTTTCTGATCCCTGAATGAAGTCCTGGGGAGGGGGCTCCACATGTCGTCGTTACTGTTGCTGCAGAATTTAAGTTCTTTATGGTGGGTGTTTTCCTTGATATTTTCTTAATTTTTGTTTTTCTTCGCCAGCCCTTCTGGAGATGTACTCCTTACACATTCCCTTGTTACTGTGTCTTGGGCTCATCCTGTCACTTCCATGTCCCTTGTTTCCCAGAGGGGCTGCTCTTGCTTCACCCCTGTCCTCCTGCACATTTTTAGCCTCGGGAGGACCCCCTTACTCTCTGGTGAGCTCAGCAGTGCGGCAGAGCCCGAGTGCCTGGCCACTTCACACCTGTCGCAGTAATTTACAGTGCGTGGTGGCAGAGGCTTGGCCGTCAGTGCTGGAACAGGTGCTGACAGGTGCAGATGCCCAGGTGGCTGTGTGTGGGCGAGTGATGCTGGCTGCCTCCCAGCACACTGCACACCTGGTGCCCTCTCTGCACAGTCCTTGTCTTGACGGGTGACATGGGAGGCAGCCTGTGACGGCTGGAGGAGAGGCCAGTGCTGTGTCCCACACGAGCTTTCGTTATGTGATGTGTCAGTGGACAGTAGTTCACTGACCCCGCCGAGAGCACCGTGTTACAGTCCTGTGTTTTACTGCTTGTGAAGAGACCAGTTGCCTGCCTGCTTGTGAAGAGACCAGTTGCCTGCCATCTTCTTTGTAGGAACAGTTGAAGCTAAGTTGTTAATTTTTTTTTTTTAAGATTTATTTTATTTATTTGAAAGGCAAAGTTACAGAGCGAGCGAGAGAGAGATCTTCCATCTGCTGCTTCACTCCCCAAGTGGCCACAACTGTCAGAGCTGGGCCAGGCTGAAGCCAGGAGCCAGGAGCTTCATCCCTGTCTCTCATGTGGGTGCAGGGGCCCAAGCACTCGGGCCATCTTCCACTGCTTTCCCAGGCCATTAGCAGGGAGCTGGTAGGGAAGTGGAGCAGCTGGGACTCAAACCAGTGCCCATATGGGATGCCAATGCCAGCCCCTCAAACTGAGTTTTACAGTATTTTACAATCACATGCAAATGTAAAGTTTTTTTATATTTGGACTTGGAATTAGACTGATTTTCTTTTAAATGAAAACCAAGTCTTATTTAACCTAAAGCTAGTGAGACAGTAGCCGAGGGTCTGTCTTTCTGAGTGAAGTGGGCTTCCACTGAAGTGGGGTCCTGTGAGCCTCCACCAGGGATGTGGATGCCCTGGAGAGGCGGGAGCAGGTCTGGCACAGGGTCAGGAGAGTCAGGTCAAGCCATCGGACCGCTCTGCCCCTGGTTTCCTGTCTAAAGCAGAACACACTTCAGTGGAAACCGTTGCTTTCATTTTGAGTCTGTCGGAGTGTTCTGCTGGCGTTTTGCTTCACGCTGCAGTGTGCGTTCTAACAGTGGGTGATGGGACCGTTCAGACGTTTGTGAACCAGCACTAGCGATTAGCAGGCTGGCTCTGTGCTGGCTTCCTAAAGGACCAGGGTACCCTGGAAGCTTGGGGTGGGCTTCTGGGGTTGGATCTCTGGCTGTGAAACTTGGGCAGTCAGCCTGATGTGCACTGCTGGTGTCTTCTGTCTTAGCCATGTTTGACCGAGAGAACAAGGCAGGCGTGAACTTCAGTGAGTTCACAGGCGTGTGGAAGTACATCACCGACTGGCAGAACGTGTTCCGCACCTACGACAGGGACAACTCGGGCATGATCGACAAGAACGAGCTCAAGCAGGCACTCTCAGGTTTTGGTAATTCACTTGTCTGTCGTGTAGCATGTTTCTTTTTGGAACCCACAGCCGTTGAAGGTTCTTCTTTACTTTGTTCAAATGACTGATTTTTTTAACCCAGTCTGTGTAAAATTTCTTTTTTTTTTTTTTTTTTTTTTTTTGTGCAGGTTCATATTTTGGTATATTTATATCCTGAAGGCTTACATTTTGACGTGGAGATTTTGTGCAGTTTTTTCATCCAGAATGAGATAAGCGCTATGCAGATTGTCTGTCTTTTGTGAATTGGAGTGATTTCACGCACAAAACTGAGAATGTGGCTTTTGAAATGATTTAAGGTGGTGTGGGGTACCTTATACTTCACGTCACATCAAAATGCAAGGAGGAGACACTGCAGTCACCCACAGACACGGTTGTGCGAGTCAGCAGGTTTCTCCGTCCGTCCAGCCATGGGCCTTGGATGGGGGACTGGAGAAAGAGTGTACCCATTCTCATCTGCCTTCAGCACGTGTGTGCTGGATGAGCGTGTGTGTGCACGTGAACACACACGAGCCTGGGCCTGTAGCCGTGTGCCGTGCTTCCTGGGAGTGTTCATGGCACCTGTCCAGAGTGCATCGAGGGCCTGTCAGGGTGAGTCAGGTCTGACAGGAAGCTGGGATTTTTATTTACGAAGGAAAAACTGACCAAAGCTGAAGCTACACCAAGATTCCAGTTTGGGGTTAACCTAGCGCTGTTTCATCTGGCCATGAAACAAAACCTGAGTTTTATTCAAGAGACTGCTGCTAGTAAGTGCCTTCTACAAAACAAGGGAAAGTTAGATCATGATCCAGTGTAGTTGTTCTGAGTCTGAGTGTTCATGTGGCCTCTGCCCTCTCCCCGGCCCCTCCCAGTGCACACTCTTCACTCCTCCTCTCCTTTTGCTTTCCTGTGAGCTGTCCATAGGGTGAGTCAGGGCCCCTTCTAGAGCTCCCCGACTGTGGGCCAGGATTCAGGGTGGGGTGGGGTCGGAGGGATAGATCCCAATTAGAACTTGGGATACATCTGACCTTGCTGGCCTTAGCTGGGGACACTGGACAGAGTCTGGGCAGACTTCTGTCCCCTGGGACAGGAACTTCCATGGAGAGTCACCCTGGGGCTGTGTCAGGTGAACTGGGCCTGTCACCTGGAGCACTGAGGACCGTTGGGTCCTTGGAGTGCATGATCTAAACACTAACATAGAGAATGCCCATCGGGCCCTGTGTCCTCATCAGACTGAGGACATTCTAGAAATCTCCACGCAGTGGCAGAATCCCTCAGGAGTCCAAAGCAGCTCTTTGTTGTCCTGGCCATCACCCCTTTCACCAAAAGGAATGTTGCCATGCTTTTTGCGTATTGTTTTGGAAAGTTTTAACTGTTAGGAAGTCAACCTCAGAAGCAAAAATTGCACTCCCTACTGTGCTGTCTTTCTGACATTTTGGGGTCCTGTCTTCTACTCAGCTTGCCGGGAAGGGGGTGAGGCAGCCATCACTCATTGGAGGCCCCCAAGCTTAGGCCACAGCATGCCTTGAGCACTCTGGAAGGTGTTATGTACCTGTGGGTGTGTTTGAGTCTTTATCAGTAAAATGATTAAGTGCTCCTACAGGTAATTAACTGTGAAATTCACTCAGACGATAGGTGTACTTGTCCTTGCAAGATTCCTCCAAGACTGAAAGCCAGTAACCATATTCTGGCACCTGCGTCTTGTCTCCTGAGCCAGTGAGGACAAGTCGGTCCCACAGGGGAGGTGACGGGAAGGCCGCAGGACAAGCGTGAGCGCGTTTGGGGCGGCCCGAGAGTCCTGCAAGTGTGGTGCTGCAGAGCTGTCTCCCTGCTGGAGACCTTCTCAGTAAATCTGAAATAACTGAAGCGTTCTGGGAGCTCTCAGAGGTTTTGGACTTTGTGAGGGCCAGCCGACTCTGGTGTCAGATGCACTTCCCTGCCTTCAGTGGGGGAGACTCCTCCGTCTTCCCTTCTGTGATGTAATGCGTGACCTAGCGCACTTTTCACATCCAAAACCCAGGAGAAAAAGAGTGTCAAAGATAACTACCGGGTGCCAGAAGCCGGGTCTGGCTCTGCCGTGGGTGCTTTCCCTGGGCACAGCCCTGAATGGCCGTGGTTAATTAAGATACGTGGCCTTTGCTTTCATCACAGCATGGCTCACTGTCACGCCTCCTCCCTTGCAGAGAGGTGGATGGTGTTGATCTTTGAGTGGGGTTACCTTCCCAGTCTGGAGGTGCACACAGATTGCAGAATGACTTGTTTAGGTTTCAGAGGGAGTCGAATGAATTTGCAGTTTTATCCCCACCTGGCTCTATGTTGTGGAATTCCTGAGGCTTGGAGTCTTGGGTGGGAGAGCCGTCTACCTGTCCTGGTCTGCTCCTAACTCTGATTTTCCTCTTTAAGGCTACCGGCTCTCTGACCAGTTCCATGACATCCTCATTCGAAAGTTTGACCGACAAGGACGGGGGCAGATCGCGTTTGACGACTTCATCCAGGGCTGCATCGTCCTGCAGGTGAACAGGAAGCCATGTGGGCACTGGAAGGAGGGGACTGTCAGAGGGGTGCACCTGACCCTCAGTGCAAGGAACTGAGTTAGGCATGTGTAGAGTTGGTGTTTGGAGCTCATATAGGTCTCACCTTTGGAGACGTAACTGATTCTGTTAATAGATGTCTAGACAACGTTGTTTCTCTCCCTTGGAAATGCAGAGCAGTCCATTCAGAAGAGACTCTACTACTCCATCTCGGAGTCACACACATACACTGTGGTATTCTGTATTTTTACAAAAAGCTTCCAGTCTGAGAACATGGACAAAGAATCACTGTGTTCTGGCCTCTGGAGCCCTCCATCACTCACTGATGGTCAGTGAGGAAACCGAGGCAGAGAGCTTGAGGGGCTGCCTAGGGATGCTTAAGACAGAGCAGGACCAGTGGAACTCACCCAGCTCTTCCTTTTGCAGCCCTTGCTGGTGTTCAGAGATCAGGGTCCATGGTTCAAGCTTTGGGAATGCTGCATGTTGATAAACCTTGTGTATCTTTCAAAATGTTGCAGTAACAGCATCCAGCAAAAACGGCAGCAGAGACATCAGCGTGGCCCCACCTGTGGTTCTGAAGCAGCTCCCATGTGTGGGAGCACACGTGTTTCCATGAGCTTCCTGTCCTAGAAGTCAGCCCTCCTGGTGCAAATCCAAGTCCAGGCTGCGTCTTGCTGGCCTTGGAATCCATTCAGTGATGTGAACAGCATGAAGTGTTTAGGTGTAATTTGGAGTTTTAGAAAACATTCTCATATTTCCTTTCTGTTTAAAATGATAAACCAGTAAAAGCAGATCTTCTCTGATTTGGCCCGTGCAGCACTTCTGGGTTTCTCTACAGATGAGTTTGGATCCATCATCCATTCTTGAGTGATTGCTGGAGAACTGTCTGCTTCAAGCCCCTAGAGTAGGGACAGTCTTGGTGCATTCCTGCCTCTCTGGACTCCTGTGCCATTCTCTACTTTAGAATTCCGATGGACTGGGTCTGGATTACTGTAGTGCTGGGATTTTCATGGACATTAGCAGTTGGGGTACTGACACCTTCCAGGCCCCTGTCTTCCAGCCTTGTCAGGGAAAAAAAGGCTTTTAAACAACTGTTTGTTTTCATGTTATTTAAAAGGCAGAAAGCGAGATATCCATCTTCGTTCACTAGTTCACTCCCCAGATGCCCAAAACAGCCAGGCTAAAGCCAGGAGCCTGGAAGTCTGCCTGGTTCCTGGCTTCAGATCGGTGCAACTCCAGCTGTTGCGGCCAATTGGAGAGTGAACCAGTGGATGAAAGATCTCTCTCTCTCTCTCTCTGTCTCTCTGTCTCTGTCTCTCCGACTTTCAAATAAAAAATAATCTGGGGGCTGGCACTGTGCTATAGTGGGTAAAGCCACTGCCTGCCATGCCAGCATCCTGTATGGGCACCAGTTCAAGACTGGCTGCTCCACTTCCAATCCGGCTCTCTGCTGTGGCCTGGGTGAACAGTAGAAGACCCAAGTGCTTGGGTCCCTGCACCCGCCTGGGAGACCTAGAAGAAGCCCCTGACTCCTAGCTTCAGATTGGCCCAGCTCCAGCCATTGTAGCCATTTGGGAAGTGAACCAGTAGATGGAAGATCTCTCTCTGCCTCTGACTCTCTGTAACTCTGCCTTTCAAATAAATAAATAAATCTTAAAAAACCTGAAAACTGGCCGGCGCCGCGACTCACTTTGCTAATCCTCCGCCTACGGCACCAGCATCCCGGATTCTAGTCCTGGTCAGGGCACTGGATTCTGTCCTGGTTGCTCCTCTTCCAGTCCAGCTCTCTGCTGTGGCCTGGGAAGGCAGTGGAGGATGGCCCAAGTGCTTGGGCCCTGCATCCGTATGGGAGACCAGAAGGAGGCACCTGGCTCCTGGCTTCAGATTGGCGCAGCGCACCACGCCGGCTGTAGCGGCCACTTTGGGGGTGAACCAATAGAAGGAAGACCTTTCTCTCTGTCTCTCTCTCTTTCACTAACTCTGCCTGTCAAAAAAAAAAAAAAAAAAAAAGTAGAAGGGAGGGCCAGGCTCAGCCCATTCAGGAGACCAAGGCCTCACGGGGTCTGTAGCTGAGCTGGGCCGGCCCCACCTTTGGTGTCCAGGGTTGTTCCAATGTGTGGGGTATCAGGGATACCCGACCTGAGCCTGCCTGTGCTGGTCTCCATCACCAGATTCCCTGCAGGAGATGAGTTACCTGTTCCTCAGTGTGCCTGTTCCCTCTGTTTAGTCAGTACCACGTTCTGAATGCTGTTGCTTTTTGTTTTTCCCAGAGGTTGACGGATATATTCCGACGCTACGATACGGATCAGGATGGCTGGATTCAGGTGTCTTATGAACAGTACCTTTCCATGGTCTTCAGTATCGTATAACCATCAGCCTTTTGTGAAAAGCAGCGGGACTACAGAAGAAAGACTGAAAATGCCAAATCTCTTAACTTTAATGGAATGGAACACCGATGTTCTATTTTATTATAATTAATATTGGGGGACCTGGTTGTACATATGTGGATAGCTGATTCATGTTTTTGCAGTTTTAACAATACTGTAATGCAAACTGCAGCTGTAATAGTATCATTATGATGCAAACGTTGGGTTTCATGACAGTTTAATTGTGCCACAAGGTAAAAATGTAATAATGTATCAGGAATTCTGCTTGCAAAAAACGCATCATGTACTTTTCTAGATAGCTTTAGTTCTATAGTGAAAATGCTTTTATTAGCCAATAGGAACCGTAAAATAATTCAGAACTTGCACAGGCTTTTCATGTGCCTTACTTTTTAAAGATGGAGTTTGTTATTGTTATATTTGTTGGAATATGCAACATAAACAATAAAGTCAATGGTCCAGACATGGATGCCTTCAGCTGTTACTCGGAGATCCATGCCTGTGTCTCAGTCCTCCCAGGCCTGACCCTGACGTTCACCATCCACTTGCCCAGGACACCTCTGGATTGGTCTTCTGCGGCCCAGCGTGCTGCTTTCTGTTACAAGAGTGGGTTTAAATTCTGTTAAACTTCTCTGCCTGGATGAACAACTCCAGTGTCAACATCTGTTACGTGACTCAACCATGCTGTGCCTTGTCGTCTTAATTACAGTTTTTGTTTTGTTTATTTGTTTTGTTTTTGAGAGGCAGAGTAAAGATAATGAGGTGGGGAGCGGGGAGGGAGGTCTTCCATCCACTGATTGACTCCCCAATGGCCACAACGGCCGATCTGGAGCCAGGAGCTTCCTCCAGGTCTCCCATGTGGGTGCAGGGGCCCAAGCACTTGGGCTGTCTTCCATTGCTTTCCCAGGCCATTAACAGGGAGCTGAATCAGAAATGGAGCAGCCAGGAGGACACGAACCAACACCCATATGGGATGCCAGTGTTGCAGGCGGCAACTTAACTTGCTATGCCACAATGTTAGCCCTTTAGTTTTTTGTCTTTGTTGGTTTTTTTGGTTTGTTTTTGACTGGTAGAGTTACAGACAGAGGCAGAGACAGAGAGAAAGGTCTTCCATCCTCTGGTTCACTCCCCAAACGGCAGCAACGTCTAGAGCTGGGCCGATGTGAAGCCGGGAGCTTCCTCCAGGTCTCCCAAGCGGGTACAGGGACCCAAGGACTTGGGCCATCTTCTACTGCTTTCCCAGGCCACAGCAGAGAGCTGGATTGGAAGAGGAGCAGCCAGGACTCAAACCGGTGCCCATATGGGATGCCAGTGCCGCAGGCAGAAGATTAACTTCCTGTGCCACAGTGCTGGCCCCCTTAATTAATTTTTAAAAATAAAACTGGAACAGGAGGTTCAGGCAGCCTGGCAAGCTGTCCGCTCACAGCCAGTGCTGCCCTCCAGTCTCTGCCACCCCGCACTTTACTGTCTGAAGTGAACCCAGGGTGGGTCCCATCTCACAGGAGTCCAGTCCGGTGCTGGGGCTGAACCTGAACAGCCTGCATCCCACGCTGTCCATGGGAGCGAGCTGGTCAGCTCAGCCACAGGTGCCTTGCTGCCTCCCTTCCGCCGCAGAGCCTGCCCCTCTGCGGGCTGCAGCTCTTACCTCCGCGTCCCTCCCCGTTCTCTGCCTTCTCCCTTGCAGGCTGGTTTTGTGGGTGCAGTATTTTCTCAGAAGATGCCTGCATGAATGCTGGTCCTCCTGACTGTGCACGTGCCTTTCTTAACGTTGCTGTCTGTGGGGAAACTTCTGGCCCGTTGCAGTTGCTACTGGGGTGAGGGCATTTGTGAGAGGATAGGGCACACCCCTGTTGCCTGATGCCTCTGAGAAATGAGTTTCCAGACTCGGGGGATGTGGGACATGGGGCCTGACCAGCCTGTGCTGGCCCCCTTCCTGGGTGGCTGGCCCCACATGCCTTCATTGGGTGACATGAGGGGGCTTTGCTGCTGCTCCTTGGTGTCTGCCATGCCGGTGACACCCCACCTGACAGGAGCCGGGAGCCCCGAACTCTGCCACCTGCTGTGGCCCTGTGAGTCTGTCCTGCAGGGCTCTCCTGAGGGCAGCCCCTCCCCTTTGAAGGGTGCTCCCCTGGTGCCTCTGATAAAGGAGTGGGTGGCGTATACAGACGTATGGTTTGATGTTAGCAATCAGAAACTGAGTGTCCCGGGCCAGCAGTGTGGCACAGTGGGTTAAAACTCCGGCCTGCAGTGCCAACATCCCATATGGGCACCAGTTCAAGTCCCAGCTGTTCCACTTTTTTTTTTAATTGTTATGCAGCAGTAAGCTCAATTTTTTTAAAGGATTTATTATTTATTTATTATTTATTTGAAAGAGAGGAGAGGCAGAGAAAGAGGTCTTCCATCCGTTGGCTCGCTCCCAAGTTGGCCACAACAGCTGGAGCTGCACTGATGCAAATCCAGAAGCCAGGAGCTTCTGGGTCTCCCATGCAGGTGCAGGGGCCCAAGCACTTGGGCCATCTTCTACTGCTTTCCCAGGCCATAGCAGAGAGCTGGATCGGAAGTGGAGCAGCCGGACTCGAACCAGGACACATATGGGATGCTGGCACTGCAGGCAGCAGCTTTACCCGCTATGCCACAGCGCTGGCCCCCAGCTGTTCCACTTCTGGTCCAGCTCTCTGCTAATGCATCTGGGAAAGCAGCAGAAGATGGCCCATGTGCTTGGACCCCTGCACCTATGTGGAGACCCAGAAGAACCTCCTGGCTCCTGGTTTCGGATCTGCACAGCTCCGGCCATTGCGGCCATTTGGGGAGTGAACCAGCAGATGAAAGGCCTCTCTCTGTGTCCACCTCTCTCTCTAACTCTGTCTTTCAAATAAATAAAATAAATCTTTAAAAAAAAAATGGGGTGGGGCTGGCACTGTGGCACAGTAGGTTAATCCTCTTCCTGCAGCGCTGGCATCCCATATGGGTGCCGGTGCTAGTCCGGGCTGTTCCTCTTCCGATCCAGCTCTCTGCTATGGCCTGGGAAAGCAGTGGAGGACGGCCCAAGTCCTTGGGTTCCTGCACCCACGTGGGAGACCTGGAGGAAGCTCCTGGCTCCTGGCTTCAGATTTGCGCAGCTCCAGTCACTGCGGCCATTTAGGGAATGAACCAACGGAAGGAAGACCCTTCTCTTTGTCTCTACCTCTCACTGTCTGTAACTCTACTTCTCAAGTAAATAAAATAAAGTTTTTAAAAAATGGGGTGTCTCTGGGCCCCCTGCTGGCCCAGGGTCCTTAGGGTCTGTTGGGCCCTGTGCTAGCTGGGGATGGGCCTGAGGGCTGTGGATGCGTAATCTGGTTCTGTGATTGGAGGAGTCACAAGGTCACTTCTCAGGGGGCTGTGGTGGCAGAATTGGGCCCCAGATGTCACCAGCGGGGGGCTCAGACTGACCTTAGGACCTCTGGGTATCCCCAGGCACTGCATCCCCATGATTCAGACCTGCCAGTCACCACTGAGGTCACCCCCAACGCCGGCCCACACACCAGGCTCCGTGATTTCCTCATCTCTCCCGGGCACCTGGACTGAGCATTTTCCAGCTACTGTTGTCCCGCTCCCCAGTCACTCACAAGCCATGTGCAGACCAGACCCTGCCAGCCGCCACTTGCCCCTCCTGCCGCCCACAGGGCTGCCGTGTGGTTGGGAAGACGCCCCTCTCCCCTTCAGTCTCAGGTCTGCAGGACCTTGCTTGGGGTGAGGGCAGCTGGTGTGGCCGCTCAGCCCGTCCTGCCTTACGTCCATGCCTCACGCTGAGAGAGCAGGCTCCTTGTGCGAGATGGAGTCTCCAGATACCCACGGGCCTTCCCTGTCCACTTGTCACCCACCCCACACCTGCAGCCCCACACCCTTGGACCCTGGCTAAGGGACAGCCTTGGAGGGGGTTCTTGGAAAGGCACCTGCTGCAGTTGTGTGGTGGAACCCCCCTCTGGATCTGACAGGGCCTCCACTGCACACCGAGAGGCCTGGGCTCCTGTATCAGCCCCTGGAGAAGGGGTTTGCTCATTGTGGTGAACTCTGTTGCCTGAGGAGGTGAAGGCCGGGTGCGGTGGAGAAAAGGAAAGGCTGGCCTGCCTCTGATGAAGAAGTGTGTACTTCCCAGGCCTCACAGGCATGATTCCACACTTGGTGCCTGAGTCCCTAGTCTCCTGGGCTCAAAGGTCATGAGGACAGAATCTCGTGAATGTGCAGGAGTGGAGCTCCGGCGGGTGAGGAGGGTGGTGGGCAGTCTGTGCTGCACACCTGTTAGGACAGACATCCTGAGGGCCAGTGGGCCAACCGGCTGAAAACACCGAGTGGGGAGTGGCCTTGGGCTCCGGGTGTGGGGCGGGGGCTCCCAGAGTGTGAGGAGTCTGAGAGGAGGCCGGTACCTCGGGGTCTTAGCAGGGGGACGAGGAAGCATGCAGAGCTGAACCTCAGCACTGCAGCTCCCGCAAGCGCCCCCAGGTGTCAGCATGCAGCCTGGCCACACGGGGGCAGTGCAGTGGCACCAAGGAGGGCCTCGAGCTCCAGCCGGGAGGCCCTGCCTGCTGCTGGGAGAGGATTGGCAGCAGAGCAGAGGGAACTGGCCCTGCTGACGTCACCGAGGGACACCTGGGTGGCCGTGGAGGAGGTTGCTGGGGACGTGTGTGGTGCTGCCTTCACCTGTGGCTCTGCCCTCCAGCGGTGTCCTGTGTCCAGTTCAGCTGTCGTGGCACCACCAGGAAGCAGATCCCTGGACGCCTGCCCTGCTGTCTCCCACCCTCCACCCCTGGCCTCCCCTGGCCTTGCGCCCTGGTCACTCACCCCTGTCGGCCCCCACCTTGTAACCCTTCATGACCCCGACCTGCTGAAGGCCTAGGATTGGACCATATTTGAACCTCAGTGGTTCTACCATGAAGGGAATTGACCCGGAAATGGCCAGGATGGTCTGAGCTCTGGATTCCCACCCTGATCACCGCCGGTCCACTTGGCAGGTGAGGACAGTCACCTGGTTCCTGCCCACGTGAGGAAGTGCAGGGAAGGGAGCAGCTGGGGGCTGGGATGGGGGAGGGGAGAAGGGGGCCAAGGGCACAGACAGCTCTGGGTGTCAGGACCTGGGGGCCCAGGCCCTCCTTACCCAAAGGAGGGGCTTTGGGCTTTGGGCGGTGCAGATGTCAGACTCACTCCCCTGCTCCAGGGCTGGTCTCTGCAGTGCTCCTGCAGGGCCCTCGTCCCTGCACTGTAGAGGGGGACAGAGGGAACCAGGCCCTATGGACCCCTCCTCATCGTAGCCCCTTCGTTTCCACAAGACCTGGTGAAGTGTGGATCCCTGCACACACTTCTGCCTGAGAGACAGGACCTCTTGGCCAGAGGTTGCAGGAAGCCGCCCGCTGTGCCTCTGAGGGTCGGAACATGCGTGCCTGGTGAAGAGATTGGTAGAGGAGCATGGTCTTGCCTGCATGTGTT